CATCCATCCATCCATCCATCCATCCATCCATCCATCCATCCATCCATCCATCCATCCATCCATCCATCCATCCATCCATCCATCCATCCATCTATTCATCCATTCATCCATCTATCATCCATACGCGATTTATAAAAACACTAACAAAACACTAACAAAAGCTAGAGAACCCAAAAAGAACTAACATATGGACTTCCAGCAAATTGAGTAGCTCCTTTTTGCAGGGCATCAGTGATATAGGGATTCTAAATAAACTAAAATAAAATGAATCTGAACATAGTTTTCTTGGGGTGGTCAACAGTTTCTCAAAACTAATAAAACAATTTGCCAATTAGGTTAGATTAGATTAGATGAGCCTTATTGATCTCACAGCGGAGAAATTCACTGGTCACATATTGTCATAGTGATTAAAGAAGGTGCAAACAAGGAGGAAAAAGGTGCATTAAGAATAAACAATATATATACAGTATATCAAGATAACTAAGGATTAAGGTGCAAGTGTACATGTATCATACACGATGAAAAACAAAATAAAAAAATAAGAAATAAAAAATAAAAAAAAATACAAGGGAGTAGCACAGAGATTTGAGGTGACATATGTACAATCCGGATGGCTTATATACAGGTGGATTGACTTTTACATTTAAGTGTAGTGCGTTTTTTACGTCACCGCGCGTTTCCAGCCAGAACGCGTAAAATACGGGTTGGAACTGCGCGTTATTGTACGGACGATTATTGGCGCCCCCGCCTGAATCCGCGCCTGTAAGGAGCAACGGTGAGGTAGTGGTATGACTATTATATTCACATATATTGCACAGTCAGTCAATACACATGTACCAAACAGTCGTTGGACTATAAAACTGAAAAAAAAAAGAAAGTTGGGGGAAATGCAATGTAATAAAATAATGAGGAACAAAAGGACATTGTAGGCTTGTGATGAAATACCAAAGGATCTGAGCCAGAATGAGAAAACTAGGTTTTATAACCTAGTTTGCTAGTTTTATAAAACTAGCATTTATACCTGAAATGAAGTTTAAAGAGGAAAAAATAGAAGTTATCTACCTACTGAAGAAGAATCAATAAAGCACATGTTCTTCAATTGTGAGATTAATGTATTGTGTCCATCTATACACGAGTGTTTGCAATGTGAATCTATTGATATAGATATTGGTATGGTGACATTTGAAAATGTAAAATCCTTTTTTACTAGGTTGTGTATATAAAAATCTAGTCACTAAAATGCTGCTGAACATGAAATGTTGCCAAAAACAGATTAAATTAAAATTAATTAAATTAATGACAACTTCCCAAGCTAAAAGACTTTCTATTAAAGCTTTAGTATTGAGAAATGTTGCTCAGTATGAGCAAATTATTTATTTTTGTTTATGTTTAGTGATATCCATGGTACATTTGTTGTGTTCTCCACTTTCTAGCAAAATTACTTCATATAAATGAACTTTTCATCATTTATGTAGAGGCTCTCAAGGTTTAATAAAATTTATGAGAATCCTAAATTTTTTTTCTTTTCATTTGTATTTTCAGAAAAGATAAAGAGGAACCTCTGGAGATGGTGGGCCAGGCACAGACCTGAGTAACCTTACAAACCCTCTTGGATTGTGGAGGATTGCTCTGAAAAGTTTGCTTTGAACGGAGCATTTGGAAATATCTTCCCTTTATTGTTTTATTTCATTTAGTTCTTTTGACCCATAGATGTTATCAGAAAATCCTCAGGCATTAAGTTTCAGGCATGCTGCTTGGCCTCATGTTTACCCTCTTGTTTAGTCTGGTGGAACTCCAGGTTGTGGCAAATTGTGCATGGAGCTACAACTTAGGCAATTGAAGTGAGGGAAGAAAAACAAGAGAAAAAACGTTCATATCACAGATTTGCATGACCAAACGTTTGAACTTGTTTAGAAAGAAAGTTGTAAATGCTACACAGATATCATCTTTACCAGCAACACTCCTTTCTTCCTGCTGGTTTAAAATGGGAACAGATGTTTTCATGCTCACGTCAACTGCGAAGCGAACCTGATCGTTTTTCGGGTGAAAAACTTTGAACTTGTACACATGGTTTGTGTGGCCTCATCTCCTTCAGTCAAACGAAGGGTTTTGCTGAGTGACTATGACCAAAAAAAAAAAGAAAACCTCTCCAGTGTAACATAAAGGTCAGCCTTTTGCCTCTTATCAACACTTTGATTGTGAATCTTTGTTCTGTTTCATATTTTTATAAAAATCATGATTAAGTGAAAGTTTCTATAAATGTTTAAAAACACAGCAAGGTCATAAATAATGCTGTGTTGCACTGTTTCTGACATGTGGTATGTACACTGTGTGTGGGTGCAAACTTGTGTTTAGAGCTCATGCAGTGGGATAAAGGAATCATCGCTCTACAGCCCTGCAGGCATGCATAGTCTGGTTCAGAAGCACACCCCATCGGGCTGAGCATCGTCTCACTTTACCCCTCTGTTCCATCTTCTACTTTGAACTTAACCTCCTTTATACAAAGCACTCAGGGCGGTCAAAGAAAACAGAGACGGGGTCCCTTATGTCTGATATCTGGCAGTGATGGGTGGGGGCTCAGCTTAGAGTTCAAGTCAAATCTAATTGAAATAACCTGGCCTGCTGCACTTAGAGAACTTTGAAGTGTTATGCTGTTTCTCCTCCATGAACATACTACTATTGTCCTACTGTTGTAGTTTTTAACCTGTAAAGTGACCTTTAAAGTCCAATTTCCTTTTTTTTCAGTGCAATCAACAATTATTTAAGATTTCCAGAGCACTTTACCATTGAACTTGAGCTATAGTTAATCTGACAATGCCCACCTGCATGGCAGTTAAATGTTGTAATACATCGGGTAAAAAAAAAAAAAAAAAAAATTAATCTTTCCGATTCATGATTCACCACGGGTTTGTTGTTTTCTGGCCAGAGAAAAATCATGTAATATGTAGCCAACATTTCGAAGTAGAATGTTTTCAAGATGACTTGGATAATACATGTCGTGACAAACTCTAGGTACAGCATTGGGACTTGCTCAACCGCAGATACCGCACCATGACGTCACAAACCGGTAGGTGGCGGTAGTGATCTTTGACAAACATGGATGCCTCCAGTAAAGCACATTCAAATGAAAATTACCCTTAAACAAAAACTCATACTTAAAGTAATTTCCGAAGTTTGAATTCTGAATATGACCACACTGATCTTAACTTTTACACAATCTATAAACGGAACATTGTTTGACAATTACATCAGTCACTTGGCATTATTTAAAAACCAATACTAGTGAAAAAATGTTTATGAAGATAGGAGGTAAATGCTGTGGAAAGGGATTTTTCTAAGTTATTTGTTCAGTTTGACAGGTGTGTTTTGAAGAGATGTAAGAACATGTTTTGAGCTGCATAATATTTCTATCCAAAGTGTAGTTTGCATTATCATCTTCCCCTGTTCTGTGTTTCTGTTGATTTCAATCACCTGGTTTTTGTATATTTTAGTTCTGGTCCTCCTTTGTCAGAGGCCGTTTCTCAATTCACAATAACGCGAGTATGGACTCAATGTTAAATGTTTATCTTTCTGCTCCAGTCTTATAACTCCAATTATGACAGTATATACAGTAGTATATCAAAGCATTTTGTAAACTCCTGAATAAATGTTAAGACCAAGTTTTGGAATTTTGTGTTAGTAGATCACAAGTGTAAGCAGAGCTTTAACATGTAAAAAAGGCACATTGGTAGTGAAAGACAAATTGGATAAAAGCAGTACTGAAAACCTATTTCAAATGATATTTTTTACAATATTTATCTGTTACATGTGACAAATGGGCACCTTCAACACCATTTACAGTTTTTTTTTTTTTTTTTTAGATATTCTAATTAATGCTGGGGTGGAGAGACAGAGCATCAGTTAATAAAATTTTGGTTGAGCATCAGGCTCAACCTAAATTAAAGGAGAAAGTTTTTTTAAAAATAATTTTTACATTTTTTTGTGAAATTTAAAATGCGAAATGAACATTTCAGCCTTGGCAGTAAAGGTTGATTTTAAACCACTTTGCTTGTGTAGTAAAACAATCCCAGCCCCCTTGTTCAGTTTTGTTTTCCCTTTATTTATTTATTTTTTTTTACATGTTAATACTTGTGAATCCTTTCCCAGTTTTGATCAGGAGTGTATAGACCCTTATTTTGATGTAAAGAATAATTTTGTGCTAGGATATTTTCCATGCTGTTTTAACAGACCTAGCTGAGAAAAGGAAGCTGGCTTTAACACTTATATAAGCATTGAGGGAGACTCAACCACACTTAGATTATCAGGCAGCATTTTGGATAGTCAGTAGAAACACAAAATGTTGACAGTCATGATAGAAATGGCATGCAAGGATACTAAGAATCTCACAGTTTGCAAACCATTAGCTACCAATTATCCAAATGTTAGCATCTGCTTAAGAGCTTCTTTAATGTAAATTCTGTAACTCTTTTTAAAAGTCTGGCAACAGTTAATCAGCTGTAGTATCCTAAACTGATCATACCTCAACTTGATTGTTTTACATTGAGCTGACAATTTCAATTTATTTCAGTTTATTTGTATAGCATCAATTCATAATATGTCATCTCAAGACATTTTATAGAGACAATTCAAACAGATCATACAGTCAAATTTATTTAAAATTATCAATTTAAGGAAAAACCAGTTGATTGCATCGACTCACTGACTCGAAGGCAATCCCTCACACCAAGCATGTAGCCACAGTGGAGAGGAAAAACTCATTTTTAACAGGAAGAAACCTCCAGCAGAACCAGGCTTAGTGTGAGCGGTCATCTGC